TTTCATAAAATGTGTCTCAATACGTTTTGAGATATGGACTTTTATTCAGCGGTGAACATTATCAATAAAGGAGGGCACATTGCTCTTCCTTGACTAATTGGGACTACAGGTAAAATTCTATTTCTCGTAGTTAGATATTGCTCAGTTGCTCAAAAACAACCATCAAGACTTGGTCGAATTCATGAATAATTTAGAAAAATCGTTATCATTATCTTTTTAAAATTTGATTGTATCCAGCGGTAAGGTCAAAGAAGAAACAACCATCTGTTTTATAAAACATGAACAATTATTTGTTGTTTGACCTCTTGCGATTATATGGAAAAATTCTGGTAATAAAATGTTTTAAATGGTAAGAAAACTAATATGTTCCCAATCATAAATCACCTAAATATTCCACACAATTTTGTCGAATCTGCTTGGCTCATATTTGAAACATCAAACAAAATCTGAAAAATACACTTGCGTAATAACACTAATTAAACACCGACATCTACAGTAAAATGATAGTATATTTTTACATTATGATAATCTATTTTTGTTCGTATGCTTAAAATAACGGTCTACGTCTTATAAATGTATAAAAGTTCGAATCAAAATATTTACGTTTTTTGAACCCTTGTGATGAAATACATTTTCCGATCCGAAAACAGGAAGTTTTTTCAACAAATGGTATTTTAAAAAAATCAAGATATATGCACCTCCATAAATAATGCTTCAAATTACTTGATAGAAAGACATGGAGAGAACTGATCTCCACTCTTCAGTGAAAGTAAAGACACTAAAACTCTTTTTTACAAGGCAAAGACCAATTCCAACGACCACTACCACCAATGAAGCCTTGAGCTCTATACTTTTTTAAATAGCTCTTTGGGTTCTTCATCAAATAATATGGATTGGTCTTGTTATATATAAAATACAAGATTAACACAGAATTAATATACTCATAACACTTTATTCCAAATAAAAGAGTAACCACATACAATTATACATAGACATGTATTAAAAGACTTCACTCTTCATAAGTCTTCAACATAAAGAAAAGAATAAAGATAAATCTAATAAGATGTAAAATATGGTGTTCTAGGTTTCCCCTGGTCAAACTCTTTGCTGAAGGAAGAGAAAACTCCCTTAGATACTAACTTATAGGAAATGAAAAGCTGTATCCCCTTATATATGAGTTAAATACCCTTATATGGCAAAAGTTAAAGGCCCACTATACGTAATTAAGAAGAAAAAAGAAAAAATATCATTACTCACACACTCGCTCAAATATGACACAAAGTTTGATTTGCTTAAATATTGAACCAAGAAAAAAATAAATAAAAAACCATTTGAAGATCAGAGATCATTAGACGTGCATGCACATGCTAAACAAAGTGCATGTTTTAATTACTTTTGATTTAAAAGATGGCGACACTTCTATAAAAATGAATGTATCATGTAGTACAAACAACTTCGCCATCTTTCAATGACATTGATAAAACTTGATATATAAAGCTTGACAGATCGAAAATATTTTTTGATTAATTATTGTAAGCTTTGATGTGGTCCGTTTGAGCTGTTGTTGGTGTCAAATGAAAGATAGGGTTCTTATCAATACATTGGACATTCTATAGAATTCATATAAAGTTTTTATTTTGCCCAAAAACATTATAAAATACGCAGAGTGGGCCTTCAAGGCGGCATATAACCCTGTTTATTTTTTCGCGAAGCCACTCAGTGAAATTACGATTTCTCTGCACCCTGATGTCCAATCAAGATCATTCGAGTATCTATGTGTTCCTGACACGTTTGGGCATCCGGGAATGACAACGTCCACACAAAGTTTACACGACATATTGAGGTAATCTATGAGTGAAATAGGAAAAACAAAAAGGTGTGATATTCTTTCAGGATTGCTTATAATAACTATTTACAAAAATGTTCCCGAGACAAAAATCTATTTAGGTAATGGTTTGTTTTAAAGTCAGAAATTCTCGGATGTCCAAACGTGTCAGGAACACAAAGATACTCAAATGATCTTGATTGGACATCAGCGTGCAGAGAAATCGTAATTTTACTGAGTGGCTTCACGACAAAATAAACAGGGTTATAAGCCACGTTAACCCTACAACACCTATAAGAAAACATTAAAAGATGGCAGCGCTATACGTTGAGAAATAACATGGGAAATGCTATATTATATTATGCTATATTATGAACTTTGATCTGATTGGCTAAATAAGGGTTATGTTCTGGGAGGTTTTGGATATAAGGTATATCCCGAGGGATATATTTATATCTCCCCGAGGGACCAATGGGTATACCGAGAGATTTATAGGATATCCTATGATTTTGAGGAATATCATTTTTATCTCCGAGGTGAAATTGATATCTGCACGAGAGAGCAAAGCGAACGAGTGCATATATCAATATCACCGAGTAGATTAAAATGATATTCTGAAAAAAATCATAATATGTTCTTATTATCCTACACTTACAAGGAGTGTACTAAATGTATAAAATCATTGTTAATGAATTCCATGCCAAATAGAGTCAATTTGGCGGGAAATCAACAAGCGGAGTATATCGTCACAATATCCTCCGCATATTCGGTTTTCCAGAGTATATCGTCACGATATCCTCCGCCCGGAGTATATCATCACGATATCCTCCGGTTATTCATTTTGCCAATAAATATCAAATTTATTTTTTAATGTTATTATACATTTAGTACACTAAGTGCAGGATAAATACTCTACATCCAAAACGGACCGTACATAACTGGTGTATCTAATACTTGAGTGGGCTTGGGGTGGATATAACCTTTTCTACCTCTTTCAAATGACAAAATAGGCCTATAGTAGAAGCACAATTTATAATTAACATTTTACAATTTTTTATTTTTGACATCTAACCCAAACCCACTCAAGTATGAGATACAATGTGATATATCATGCCTTGCTATGTGCACTGGTAATCGAGTGGATAACCAGTGATGTGGGAATACAGTACATCATTCATGGCACTGTAACTTCATATGCATCATTAACTTTTTCAGAGTCGACTGAATTCATGTACCTTCTTGGACGTAAGATTAAAGACTGTGACCAGGTTACCGAAGTTAAGAAACAAGCAGGACTAATGTCCGATTTGGGCCTAGAATATGCGACTTTGGCCCTTGTAACACAAGATGGCTGGCATTTCAATTATGCAGCAACTCTGTTCAACGCGGCTTTACGACGCATTGAGATATGTGGGGCAGATTGCTCCGAAGGTGAGATAATGGTGAGAAATAAACCTCTTACAGCTGAATATTTGCACGATGAAATCCAACAAATAGAGACAGCTTTCCTTAAAACACAGTCTAGTGAAAATAATGAGCCAACACTTAGTTCTACCAAGAGGTACAAAGAAACACTAAAGAAAATTAGATCATATTCTACTAAAACAATCAATGACATTCATACTAATGATATGCAAATTGACAGTATCACATCGGATATGAGTCCCGAAAATGAAAAGAGAACAATTCGAAATAGTAAAGAATACTATGATAGATTAACTGACATGATCATATCATTCCATAAACAGTTAGTATGTGAATGTGTATCCATACTAGGTGAGCCAGACTGTAAGTATGCTCTCATAGGGTTGGGTTCGCTTGCTAGAAAAGAGGTTACCGCTTGGTCTGATCTTGAGTCAGCAATCATATTTGATTCTGCAGGAAAAACACCCGAGGAATGTGATGAGATCAAACGGAAGTTTAGAGCATTGGTTCATTATCTCCATATGAAAGTTATAAACTTAGGGGAAACTAAAATCAATGTTCTAGACATCCCTGTATTAACTGATTTCAACTCCAGACTCCCTCAAAATGTTGTTGATAATGATTTCTTTGATAGGGCTACCCCTCAAGGATTATGTTTTGATGGTACACTACCCAAGGCAAGTAAGCATCCACTAGGAAGAAGGTCGACCACTGTTCCACATATAAAATCAGATAGTCTAGAACTCATTATGACAGTTGAAGAAATGCTTAATTGTCAGTCGGAAAATGTGGCCATCAAAGAAGGTTATCATCTTAGCGATGTTCTTATGACATCTACTTTGATACACGGAGACGAATCTCTTTGGAAAACATACAATGATAAAGTTCATGAAATTCTTGCTTCCCCATCTACCACTGATCCCACAGTTTCCGTTGGAACAGAACGTGGACAGAATACATTAAAAGATGATTTGAAAAATTATACCAGAAGGCCTCTGACACCACAATCGCTTCAAAAACAGTTACGAACAAAACACGACATCTATAGATTTGCTACGATTTCTATCAATATTCTTAAACTTCTGTATAATTGCAAATCATTCAATCCATTAGATATTATTGAGGAGTTATACGAAAATAATGTTCTCAGTGAGCGAGCTAAGATAGATTTACAGCTCATGGTCTGTATAACTATAAACATGAGACACCTTGTGTACAATAGGTATGACCAACAACAAGATACAATATCCTTCATCATTCCGAGGGCTGGACAAGACAATACGCAGGTATCCCCTAGAGTAGTTTCTGTGAGGGACTTTACAGCAATCTACAGGTTTTATGCTACATTTCTACCTTGGTCTCAATTCTTACAGGCACACAAAATTGACATTGCTACATGTTCACACAGTAAAAGATACTTTGACAGTAGCAATACCATGAAAGGGGAACTTCATCGAGAAATGTACTTTACTCAAAGTGCAATCAAAGCTTTCGAACTCGAAGAAATCAGACTAGAAACACTTGATGTGACAGACGAAAATACATTAGAACTTGTGAGTGTTAAAGATACTTTAGGTTTGCTTCATTACTCACAAGGAAATTACAAAATTTCAATCAAATACTTTGATGAAGCTCTGGAAGAGGCTTTGCGTGTTCACGGGGATGCGCCTGATGAGAAAGTAGCAATGATTAGAAATAATATTTGGACTGCACGTGTCCAAAAGGGAGACTATAGTGGGGCCATTGACTATTTCGAGCAAAATCTGGAAAATAAAAAACTGCTTCACGGGGATCAACCTCATCTAGAAATAGCTAGATCGTTTGATAAAATTGGTGCAACATACCATAAAATGGGAGATTACAAGAAGGCCTTTGAATATTATGAGCAGAGTCTTGCAATGGAAAAACTACTTTACGGAGACCAACAACATCCAGATATAGCTAGATCATTGTGTAATATTGGTGCGATGTACAGTGAAATTGGAGAATACAACAAAGCTATTGAATATAACAAGCAGAGTCTCGCAATGAGAAAACTACTTTACGGAGACCAACCCCATCCAGAAATGGCTACTTCATTGGGTAATATTGGATCAACGTACAGTGCAATGGGAGATTACAACGAGGCCATTGAATATCGTGAGCAGAGTCTTGCAATGGAAAAACTACTTCATGGGGATCAACCTCATCCAGAAATAGCTACATCGTTGGAGAGTATTGGTTCAGCATACCATCAAAAGGGAGATTACAACAAGTCCATTGAATATTATGAGCAGAGTCTTGGAATGGAAAAACTACTTCATGGGAATCAACCTCATCCAGAAATCGCTGCATCCTTGGGTATTATCGGTAGAATTTACAGGAAAATGGGGGATAACAAGCAGGCCATTAAATATCATGAGGAGAGTCTTGCGATGAAAATACTTCTTAACGGGGATCAACCTTTTCAAGGAATAGTCACTTCATTGGATAAAATTGGGTCAATTTACAGTGAAATGGGAGATTATAACAAAGTCGTTGAATATCAGAAACAGAGTCTTGCAATGAGAAAACTCCTCCACGGAGACCAACCACATCCGGGAATAGCTACTTCAATGAACAATATTGGTTTAACATACAGTGAAATGGGTGATTATAAAAAGGCCATTGACTATCATGAGCAGAGTCTTGCAATGAAGAAACTACTTCACTTAGACCAAACACATCCTGGAATAGCTACTTCATTGGGTAATATTGGTTTAGCGTACTATCAAATGGGAAATTACAACAAGGCCATTCAATATCATGAGCAGAGTCTTGCAATGGTAAAACTACTTCATGGGGATCAACCTCATCCAGATATAGCTACATCGTTGGGGAGTATTGGTACAGCATACCATCAAAAGGGAGATTACAACAAGTCCATTGAAAATTATGAGCAGAGTCTTGCGATGGAAAAACTACTTCACGGGAACCAACCTCATGCAGAAATAGCAACATTGTTGGGTAATCTTGGTACAATGTACAAGCAAATGGGAGATAACAGCAAGGCCATTGAATATCATGAACAGAGTCTTGCAATGGAAAAACTACTTCACGGGGAACAGCCTCATACAAAAATAGCTACATTGTTGGGTTATCTTGGTACAACGAACAGGCAAATTGGAAATAAAAACAAAAGCATTGAATATCATGAACAGAGTCTTGCAATGGAAAAACAACTTCGTGGAGACCAACCAGATCCAGTAGTAGCTACATTGTTAGGTAATATTGGTTCAACATACCATCAATTAGGAGATTACAACAAGGCCATTGAATATCATGAGCAGAGTCTTGCAATGAAAAAACTACTTCACGGCGACCAATCTCATCCTGATATAGCTACATTGTTTGGCAATATTGGTTCAGCATACCATCAAATTGGAGATTACAACAAGGCAATTGAATATCATGAGCAGAGTCTTGCAATGAAAAAAAGACTCCACGGAGACCAACCACATCCAGGAATAGCTACATCGTTGTGTAATATTGGTTTAGTGTACAATCAAATGAGAGATTACAACAAGGCCGTGGCATATCACGAGCAGAGTCTAGCAGTGCAAAATCTACTTCACAGAAACCAACCACATCCAGGAATAGCTACATCGTTGAATAATATTGGTTTGGCGTACAGTCAAATGGGTGATAATAACAAGGCCATTGAATATCATGAGCAGAGTCTTGCAATGGAAAGACTACTTCACGGGGATCAGCCTCATTCAGGAATAGCTGCATCGTTGGGTAGTATTGGTACAGCATACCATCAAAAAGGAGATTACAACAAGTCCATTGAATATTATGAGCAGAGTCTTGCAGTGGAAAAACTGCTTCATGGGGATCAACCTCATCCAGAAATAGCTACATCATTGAGTAGTCTTGGTACTACATACCATCAAAAGGGAGATTACAACAAGTCCATTGAATATTATGAGCAGAGTCTTGAAATGGAAAAACTATTTCATGGAGATCAACCTCATCCAGAAATAGCTACATTGTTGGGTAATCTTGGTACAGTGTACATGCAAATAGGAGATTACAACAAGGCCATTGAATATCATGAGCAGAGTCTTGCAATAAAAAAACGACTACACGGACACCAACCACAACCAGGAATAGCTGCATCGTTGAGTTATATTGGTTTAGCATACCATCAAATGGGAGATTACAACAAGGCTATTGAATATCATCAGGGGAGTCTTGCAATGAAAAAACTACTTCACGGGGATCAGCCTCATTCAGGAATAGCTGCATCGTTGGGTAGTATTGGTACAGCATACCATCAAATGGGAGATTACAACAAGGCCATTGAATATCATCAGCAAAGTATCGCAATGAAACTTCTTCACGTAGACCAGCCACATCCAGGAATAGCTACTTCATTGAATGATATTGGTTTAGCGTATAGTCAAATGGGTGATAATAACAAGGCCATTGAATATCATGAGCAGAGTATTGCAGCGGAAAAACTACTACACGGAGACCAACCACATTTAGGAATAGCTGCATCGTTCAGTAATATTGGTTTGGCGTACCATGAAATGGAGGATTACAACAAGGCCGTTGAATATCATGAGCAGAGTCTCACAATGAAGAAACTACTTTACGGAGACCAACCACATGTAGAAATATTAACTTCATTAGGTTATATTGGTATAGCATACCATCAAATGAGAGATTACAACAAGGCTATTGAATATCGTCAGGAGAGTCTTGCAATGAGGAAACTACTTTTCGGCGACCAACCTCATCCAGGAATAGCTACACTGTTGGGTAGTATTGGTACAGCATATCATCAAATGAGAGATTACAACAAGGCCATTGAATATCGTCAGGAGAGTCTTGCAATGAAAAAACTACTTCACGGGGATCAGCCTCATTCAGGTATAGCTGCATCGTTGGGTAGCATTGGTACAACATACTATCAAAAGGGAGATTACAACAAGGCAATAGAATATTTTGAGCAGAGTCTTGCAATGGAAAAACTACTTCACGGATACCAACCACATCCAGGAATAGCTTCATTATTCGGTAATATTGGTTTAGCGTACAGTAAAATGGGAGATAACAACAAGGCCATTGAATATCATGAGCAGAGTCTTGCAATGGAAAAACTACTTAACGGAGACCAACCACATCCAGGAATAGCTACTTCGTTGAATAATATTGGTTTTGCGTACAGTCAAATGGGAGATAACAACAAGGCCATTGAATATCATGAGCTGAGTCTTGCAATGGGAAAACTACTTCAAGTGGATCAACCTGATCTAGGAATAGCTACTTCATTGGGTAATATTGGCATTGCATATGGCAATATGGGAGACTATAATAAAGCCATTGAATATCATGAGCAAAGTCTTGCAATGAAAATATTACTTTACGGGGACCAACCTCATCCAGGAATAGCTAAATTGTTCGGTAATATTGGTACGGCGTACAGTAAAATGGAGGGTTACAACAAGGCAATTGAAAACTACGCGAAGAGTTTAGAGATTTATAGGCAGTTGAATGATGAGAAGAATAATCAAGAAACACTAAGTTTACTGTTTGGGATCGCCCACGCATATTCAGAGTTAGGTGAAGTGGACAAAGCCGTAGATTACATAGCAAAGGCTCAGGCCATTACAGATGGAAAATAACATACCATGAGCGACGTTCTTGAACTCTGTCAAATCTATATCAGAGACAGGAATTGTTTCATTCATCAATTCGCGATGTTTGGTTTATTTTTACAAATTTTTACGAATTAAGTAATTGTTATTTCACGAAGGAATGGTTGCCTCAACCTTCTTAATTCTGACTGATATCCAAATGTTTTGATGATATTGTGCCCATTATCAGCCAAATGGCTACTGTATAACTGATAAGAATGGTCATGATTTTTATTGAAGAATTCTATTTTGAATCAATGTAAAATACCTACATTAAAAAATTTCCATATCATCTTTTCCTTCATATTGTATACATTATTCAACAGAGGAATTTGGAGATTCAGAAAGAGATAACATGATCATAGACGCTATAAGATACATGTCGCTGTTTTTAGTACATGTAGCTATTGTCCGATTATTGTATATCATAATACAATAAATATGAAAAAGCCATCCAGTATGTTACAAATTCAAGCTCGTTAACATTTTAGTTTTTTTAAATGTGTATATTGTTATAATTAGTAAGTAATTTGTTGGGACTGTGATACAATGCTATATCTATATCTACTAAATCAGGCAATAATGGTCTACAAGACCTGTATTAAATACTTATAGGGGACGTTATTATCACAAAACTAATATTATTGCTGACTTTTAAAAGTAAGTTACCATAATATTAAAAATAATCGAAAGAATTAAAATTGAACGGAAGGGGGTATTGAACGGAGGGGGGATGAATATGTCTTTAAGATTGAATAAATTTACAAAAATTCGTATATTTGAAAATGAGCTCAGTAACTCAGTAAGAAATTGGATGTTATATTTGTGGAGATTGAAAAATGGGGAAATTTGGAGTTTTAGGAGATAAAGGCAAGTAACATCTCTTATCATATGTCCCCCTCCGTTCAATCCCCTTGTCCGTTCAATTTAATTATTTTCGATTATTTTTTGTTTATTTTCAATTAATTCACGATTTTCAAAGAAAACCCCCTTCAAAAACCACTTGTTGAAATTAAAACGAAAAGTTTCATACAGCACATTTTGATAACTTTGAGTTAGACTACAATATAAGCCAAAGTGGTTTAAACTTTATATGGGACCTTTAAATATAAGTTTTTAATACTGATACGAGTTTACAAATGTCTAGATGTTTAGATGTAAACATACAAATACATATTGAATTTACAAGAAAATGTATAAACATGTCCAATTTATAATGTTAACATATTCAGAGTTAAAGTTGTACTCAAACCATTTTACTCGATTTAGATATATTTATGCTATCTTACCGTATGAAAGCATGTAAGTTATCACAGGCTGGTATCGAAAAATTTGTCCGCTGTGACGGAGCGTGTTATTTTGTATAGAAACACAAGGAAATCCACCCAATTAATTTTTTACTCATATGTTTCGTTTTTTCAAAGAAAATTACCTACTCCATGCAATGAATATATCATTTGCGAATAAACTTAAAATCTGTTTGAAGTCCAACAACGGTTAGAGTAAAAGCTATTGAAATCGGCGCCGGGGTATCATACTCCAAATGTACCATTTGTTTTATTTCTTTTAAATAGTACAATATAGTGACACGATAGTATTTACATATGTTTTCAGTATAACTCTGAAGGTATTAATGATATATTGATGTATTGGATATTTTTAATTTGTTTTATAAAAATAATGTTTAAATTTTTTGTCTGCTGTGACGGTGCAGTTTCAAATCTGAACTACGTTAAGAATTCAAGAGTTATAATATATCTTTTACAACTACACTGTGGAGGAGCGAACGTGTCAAATCTCTTTCGTAAAGTATTCTGAAAAATGAAACGTAATAAAAGTACATAATTCAAACTTTGAGATGTAAACTAGTATACGACCACTCTTCAAGCTTTTTTCTCAGTTTGTAAGTTGCAATCCAACGTCCCTCTATAGTCCCTCTATAGTCGTTCCAAAAGGTAAGTGGAGTGTATCTTGGTATACGAAAGCGCAAAATTTAATTTTAAGATTGTTCTTTATTTGAATAAGAGTTAGGGTTATCTGATGTGTATGTATGTATGTATATATTTATTGCCCTTTATATAAAGGAGATACATGTATACAATTTATGTTAAATTGAAAATAATCACTATTTACAAACAAACAATGTCGTTGCTTTTTAACTGACGACGACGCCTAGCTACCGCGTAGACGCACGCCGCCGACCAAGATTGGCCTAGCACCTAATTGTAACGCAATTATAAAGTAACTATATTTTCAAACGCTCATTGCTTTGTTATTTGTTTTGGTTTTTTTTGAACCGACAACGACGCCTAGCTACCGCGTAGACGAACGCCGTAGGCCTAAATAGACCTGTACCTAACACTCTTGAGATTAATCAAAAAATGACATTATCACGGGGATAAGCAAAACGAGGGCGAAGCCACGGACTGCGACTCGCGTAACTTTACACCGCAGCCCAGCGCCAAAATCGAGGGACATCCGGCAGTGCCTTCTGCTTCTTCCGACAAAATAGAGAAATCCAGGAATTTTAAATGCTATCGTAGTGTCTAATCGGTGACCAAAATATTACTCTGTATCTACTGTTGGTCTGTAGATAAGAAAATAAGCAGTTGTCCAGATCAAGCTAAAACAGTAGCAAAGTTCTGATTTTACCTGTAAAATATGTGCATATTATTTAATTTACTATACACTTGAAAGGAGTTTTAACACGTTTCTGATATCTAAAGGTTAGTTGAGGCTCCGAGTATAATTCGTGAAAATGATTTGATAATATAATGTGTTCATGAGGAGAAAATTAGATTCAAACTGCGCATTCATAGTGGACGCAGTCCAGTAAACAAAGCTATTTCAACAACGCAACACAGCCTCCATTGATATTCTAAGCAACGCAGTCCAGCCGCGAACACGAAATAAATAAGAAAGTGTAAACTATATTCCTACGCTATTATTGTTTCAGGAAAAGAAAGTCAGCATCCAGATTATCATTCAAAGTTACGTTGATTAACATATATCTATTACCTGAATCAATGTCCCAAATTGCTATATTGTATCGTTTAAGACCTAGAAATATGGCAATTCAATAGCGTATTTGGCAGAACAGTCGAGCGCAAGATGACAACGTAATATGTTTATTACAAACCAATTTGTGGATAGGGTTAAATATATAGATAATTGGATAGTGGTGAGACTTTTTTATAAGAAGTAGAAATGCGAAACAATTTTTGATGATGCAATAAAAGCTGTTGGGGAAGGGAAGGGAACTAGTATTTAAGATATCAGGCAAATATCAAATAATTGGAGAGTTGGTGAGTTAATGTAATTTTGGATGATCTTTCCAACAGTCCATCAATATTGCTAGCTACCATAAATTCATGATTCCAGCTGTATTTGACAGCTTGTATATATTTGCAGAATGGATTGAGACACGATGTAGGTCTATTAAAATAGCCCTTTATATTCAATTTTGTCCAAAGTTGCTCCATTTCGGCCACACCTGTACACACATTGTGCTATCTACCTTTGGCTGTGATTGCGTTCAGCTTCAGATATAAAGCAACACTGAGTCGCGGACTGCGTTGGGCAGATGGATGGACTGCGACTATCAAAAATTCCAATTGTCTATGTAATTGTACGTTTTCCGCTTACCAAATATCACACGAAGATGTAATTGTAACAACAGAACATGAATAATTATATTAATTTGATGTCATTTCTGATTCCTTTGTTTAAATCGGTATATTAGGGACAAATATTGACAAAATTAAATTTTTTGTGGCAGATTTCGAATTCATTTGTGTTCATGCTAAACTATTGGACAGCCGAGCACCAAGAATGCCATTGCATGTGGAGTATGAATATGTTGATCACCGACTGGAACATACTAGCTATTCTGTAGAATATCCAAACCAATAATCTACCCCAAATCCTAACATGCCTTCCAAATTAAGTTTGGACTTACCGCCATTGTTCAGCTATAATGCGTTGTAATCTCGTTTTGAATTACGCGAGTCGCAGTCCGTGGCTTCGCCCTCGTTTTGCTTATCCCCCGTGATTATGGAGCTGCATTTTCTATAAAATTAAAAAGAAGACATAGCATATCATCGTACCTTCCCCAAGGTCGGTACTGTAGTACTGTATGAAAGTATGAGATCCTTTCAATATGTTGTAGGCTAGTAAAATAAATATACAATTTATGTTAATTAAAGGTTGGTGGTGTTGCTTTATGGTGCAATTCTAAATTAGTATGTATAGTAAATGTACATAAATATAAATACAAATATGCGAGTAAAACCAAAAATGTACAGGCTGCTTAAGAGACACAATCGTTTGTTGCAAAAACGTCAGGCTGCCGCGTTGACGTTGCAACTACCAATCAACAAAAAGAGCAAGAAAGCATTGCTTATTATTGTACCTTCCCCAAGCTTGGTACTGTTCATCCATAATAGTTAGATATTAATTATATTTCAGAGAGAGAGGATAGTCCCCTAGTCGGCCCATGTACCTCCCTTGAGGGCCACCCTCCTCCACTGAATGAAGTTACATTAAGTGTATACGTTTGTTAGATATCGCTGACGGCACGTATATTGTTGCATGACTATACATGCAATATCTTTTAGACACTCAAGTGTTTGTTCGTTTGTAAAATGCCATTCTTCCGTACCAATGCCAAGGAGGTTTTTAACATTCATTTGGATATCCCATTCATAACAATGAGTATTAAGTTGTTCTCTGAATATGACATATTCATTTGAAGGGCATTTAAGTAAAAAATGCTCCACATCTTCTTTTTCGTAGGTGTCGCACAATAAACATGACAGTGATTTATTCTCGCTACCCCTATATTTGGAGTTAAGCGAATGTTCATCCATAAGTAGTTTCACCATTATTTTGCACCCATTAAAAGCAA